GGTTTCTAGCCCTATAACCGCAGTTATAGCTGGAATCTTAGTTTCTTGAGCAAGAAACTAGGTTTTTGGGAGCAAGAACCTAGGTTTCAGCAAGAAACCCACTTTTAACCGCGCCATTTGTATCATAATTCGAGAAACCAAGATTCCTCGTAAAAAACTTTTTTGGCAGGTGGGTTTTGTGGCTAGAATCTAAGTTTCCAGTCAAAAAACTAGGTTTTAGAGCTCGAAACTTAGTTTCTACGCTCAAAACCCAGTTTCAGATCTCAAAACCCAGTTTCGTCGTTTCTAGGGACCGTATCTAAGATTCATAATCCCGAGCGTGACGTCAGCGTAGTTCAGCCACTCAACTTGTCAACTTGTTCTGAAGAACTTGTCTCTCACCGTTTTCGATTTAGTCCTTTTGACTTTGAAGACTATCATTTTGAGGTTATGAGAAGACGCGTTGTCGGTGACTTTCCCGCGCTGAGCTCCAGCGAGGTCTTTACTCTGCTCCGTAACTGGTTCCAATTTCTCACCGCTACGCGTCGCAGCGTCGTGCTACGCGTCGCGGCACGAATCCTAGATACGGGCCTTAGCAACGACGAAACGAGGTTTCGTTGCTCAAAACTATGGTTTGAGATAGGAAAGTTGTATTCCTCAAGTTGTGATACAAATGGCGCGCTGAAACCTGGGTTCTTGCTCCCAAAACTAGGAGCATTGCTATAACTGGGGTTATAAGGCTAGAAACTAAGTTTCGTACTATGCAACTAGGGTTTGTGAGCACGAAACCTGGTTGTATGCGAGGAAACTTGGTTTCTCGAATTATTATACAGATGGCGCGGTTGAAAGTGGATTTCTTGCTGAAACCTAGGTTCTTGCTCCCAAAACCTAGTTTCTTGCTCAAGAAATTAAGATTCCAGCTATAACTGCGGTTATAGGGCTAGAAACCAGGTTTCATGCCATAAAACCTAGTTTCATGGCAAGAAACCTGGTTTTGTGAGCAAGAAACTAGGTTTTGTGAGCACGAAACCTGGTTTCGTGCGAGGAAACTTGGGTTCTCGAATTATGATACAAAATGCTTGCCATACACGCTCGGTCGTTGGCGGCTGCGTTCTGTTATCACGCTCGGCCGCTGGCTGCTGCGTTCGTACAGGTTCTATACGTACTGGGCTGGAAGTGAAGCAACTTCTTAGCCTCGCCACTAAGCTATTTATTACTATACTAGACTATAATAATTTTCAATCTGGTATTACTCTTTTCTGCTACTATTGCATGCGAAAATCCCTGACGAGCCCTCCAAAATCCTGTAGTGGTCCTAGGGGTGGCCACACTGGACTTTCACATGTGTCATTTATTTGTGTCGGGATCATTTTCCGCTCCTACCGGGAAGGCAGGACGGTGATGCAGTAGCAAGAAAGACCCCAGAGTGAAATGAACGTCTTGATATAGTCTTTATATGAAAGTCTTTATATAGTCTTTATACAACGGATGGTTTGGCTCATGGATAGAGAGCATGTCCAGTAATAAACATCATCCTATCCAATCACCGTCCTGGACATCATCTCTATCCTTGAACCGATGGGTTTATTCATCGTATACGAATAACATTATTCCCTGTACGTATCTCAACTATAGCATATAAATATATTACTTATGTCACGTTTACGTTACCTCGTTAGGTTATTACACGTTTCTCTATTCTATTCGTTTTGAGCTATTCTATACGGGTTAATATTGTAGCCCCCGGCGCCGCTCCTCGTCCGTCTCTCCCCGTCGTGTGCGCCGCGGCTCGGCGCGAGTTCGTGAGTTGGCAGTGTGTCTCCCTGTCCGGGGTAGGCTATAAGCTCCGAGTCCCTCCTTTAGTATAAGATATACCTTCTCTGGCGTCGTCCTGCTCGTGGGTGGCTCTCCCTCCGACGGTCTGCTCTCTCCGACGGTTTGTTTGCGCTCTCTCGAGCGTGATCGTTCGCTCTCTCGAGCGTGCGGTAGTGGTAGTGTAGTGGTAGTGGTATGGTAGTGGTAGTGGTAGTGAGTAGTGTAGTGGTAGTAGTAGTAGTAGTAGTAGTAGTATCAGTAGTAGCGAGTAGATAATATAGGTCTATATATCTTACTCCTGGTAGTAGTATAGTAGTAGTCGTAGTTGTGGTAGTAGTAGTAGTAGTAGTAGTTAGTAGTAGAGTAGTAGTATAGAGTAGTAGTAGTCAGTAGTAAGTAGTAGTAGTAGTAGTAGTAGTAGTAGTAGTAGCAGCGAAAAAAATACACGGGAGCGGCGAGCCGATTTGCTCCCGTCAGCTTTCAAAGCGCTCTGGTAACAACAATTACGAGAGCGAAAATTTTGGAAGCTACGAGAAAAAATCGCTCCGTGCCACCGGCAGCGTTACGACCCGTTCCTCAACGTAGACAGCTAGGTTATCAAAACATCTAGAGCTGCATGAAATCCTCAACGCATGATTCGCCACACGAACAAAACTCGCGACAGTCTAAGAAATCAATGTGTTTTATAATCGCGTACAATAAGTTGATATCGCAGGGGTTATTGTGGGAAGTTAGGCACGACAGTGAACCTGACACGCACGTAATCAAAGCTGTTTTCTGAATTCGTCACGTAGAAAGTGGACTGTATTTATTCAGGTAGATATTTAGAAGAATGAACTGTATATACTTGAAGATTCTAGGCACTTCGTAACTTTGTGGATGTGCGGCAGCATTGATAAGATCTATGCATGGGGGTACGTGGACTGGGGAAGAGAAACGAAAGTAAAACCTTACCAGAAGCTCCCCGACATTCCTGAGATTGAAACATTATTTGACCAACT